GCCTGCGACGCTCCGTTAATATCTTTTGTACTCCTTTTATATTTGGCACAAGTTCGCCGCATTAAACGTTTAGTTTTCTTCAGTTATTAACCCCTCATCAATTGTCATTCGTGACATTTCGGTGGAGGTGCTGGGTAACTGAAGAAAATGACTGATGCGGGGCGTGAAGGACGACATCTTCGGAGGCCTCGTCCGCAACCCACCGGCAACCGTCGACGCCTTCGTCAGCGAGGCGACAAACATCGAGCGCGCCCTCCAAGAGCGCGCTAGCCACTACCAGCGGCAGCCAAGCGTCACTGCAACCGCGCTGCTTAGCGGCGAAAACACGCCTGGTACGGACATCCGCGAAATTATCCGGGAAGTTGTCCGGCAGGAACTGCGAAGGTTGCTGCCAACCACCAGCCGTCCGCCAACCATTTCTATCGCCAAGGCTGTCTGAGAAGAAGTGCATCGGGCGCTCCAACCAGAGGTTCCCGTCACCACGGTGGCACGGGAGGAGCCGACTTTGAGCTACGCCGCCATGGCCCGACGACCGCCGCAAGCTTCCCGCCAAGCCACGGCACCGCCCCGAAGAGGCGCCCCAACGCCGCAGTACCCCCGACGACAGCAAGATCAGGCGCACGTTCCCCCAGAGCGCCCTGCGCCAAGGAAGACAGACGTCTGGAGGACGGCCCACCGACGCCCGCTGTGTTGCCACTGCGGGGAAGCTGACCATGTGTACCGCCGATGTCCATACCGACGACTCGGGCTGCGCGGATTCCACCCAAGCGACCCGCGCCCCCGGTATGGTGAACGCCCTCGGGAGATCGACGAGTACCTGCGACGACCCCAGTCCCCCGAGCCTGCGTCCCGCCGAGAGTTCCGGTCGCCGTCACCGCGACGTCCAGCTTCGCCGATGCACCGACGCCGACGTGAAAGCCTGTCGCCCCTCGCTCCTCGCCGGGGAAACTTGTAGAGCACCAGCCACCTTCCAGCACGTCATGGACACCATGCTGGCAGGTCTGAAATGGCAGAGCTGCCTCGTCTACCTGGACGATGTCGTGGTATTCTCACGAGATTTTGACGAACACCTCAGACGACTTCGAGCCGTGCTTCAAGCCATCAAGACCGCCGGCCTGTCACTAAAGCCAACAAAGTGTCGGTTCGCCTATGGGGAACTAAAGTTCCTTGGCCACGTCGTGAACAACAAGGGTGTTCTACCTGACCCCGAGAAGACCCGCGCCGTAGCTGCATTTACGCCGCCGTCTGACAAGAAGGCCGTGAGAAGATTTCTCGGACTCTGTGCCTACTACAGGCACTTTGTTCGAGACTTTGCCAAGTTATCCGCACCGCTGACACACCTCACGAAGGACGACGTAAAGTTCGAGTGGACAGAAGAATACCAGAGGTCATTCGACGAGCTCAAACAAAGACTTCAGACGCCCCCGATTCTTGGTCATTTCGACCAGTTTGCTGAAACCGAGATCCACACCGACGCCAGTAACACCGGACTGGGTGCGGTACTAGTCCAAGTGCAGGACGGAGCAGAGCGAGTTATCGCATACGCAAGTCGGACGCTGTCTAACGCGGAGAGGAACTATTCAACGACTGAAAAGGAGTGCCTCGCTGTCGTATGGGCAATAACAAAGTTTCGCCCATATTTGTATGGAAGTTCTTTTCGCGTGGTCACAGACCACCACTCGCTCTGCTGGCTGGCGAATCTGAAGGACCCCTCCGGACGCCTCGCTCGGTGGAGCCTACGACTGCAGGAGTTCGACATGAGCGTGGTGTACAAGTCCGGCCGGAAGCATAATGACGCCGACTGCCTGTCAAGGGCCACAGTCGAGGCCGGTCCTGCCTGCACCAAAGCGGACGACGATGAGTGTTTCCTCGGCGCTCTGGATGTCAGCGACATGGCAGCACTCCAGCGAGACGACCCTGAGCCGCGAGCACTGATCGAGCACCTAGAGGGACAAGGAAGCGCCGTTCCCCGCAGTTTTGTAGGAACACTGCCAACCTTCTCCATCCAACAAGGCCTACTGTACAAGGAGAACTTCAGCGACAACAACACGGCGTGGCTGTTGGTGACCCCTTCCAGTCTTCTAGAAGAAATTTTTCAAGCCTGCCACGATGACCCGACGGCGGGACACTTTGATTACAGCAGAACACTTGCAATGATACGCGAAAAGTACTACTTGCCCCAGCTTGCGAAGACAGTACACCACTACACCCGATCTTGCCACGAGTGTCAACGACGGAAGAAGCCACCGACGAGACCGGCAGGGCTTCTTCAGCCTATTGCGCCACCATATGCCCCATTCCAGCAAATCGGTATGGATTTACTCGGACCTTTCTCACCGTCGACGCAAGAAAACCGATGGATAATCGTCGCAACCGATTATCTCACGCGGTACGCCGAGACAAAAGCCCTTCCATCAGGAACGGCTGTTGAAGTCGCCAAGTTTTTCATCGAGTCCATCGCCCTCCGGCACGGCGCTCCCGAAGTCCTGATCTCAGACCGTGGATCATCATTCATGGCCCAGCTGACGCAAGAAGTCCTTCGTCTCAGCCACACCAGCCATCGTCGCACCACGGCGTACCACCCGCAGACCAACGGGCTGACGGAGAGACTCAACAAAACCATCGCCGACATGATCTCCATGTACGTCGACGTGGAGCACAAGACATGGGACGAGGTGTTTCCGTACGTCACATTTGCCTACAACACGGCCGTACAAGAGACCACCGGAGTGACACCCTTTCAACTGGTGCATGGGCGCAGGGTAGCGACAATGCTGGACGCTATGTTACCCCACGAACCGGCTGTCGACGCAAGCGACGACGCCCAGGTGGTTGTCCAAAGGGCAGAAGAAGTCCGTCAGCTCGCCAGACTCCGTATTAAGGCTCAACAACGCGTCGACACTGGCCGCTACAACCTTCGTCGTCGGGACGTCCACTTCCAGCCCGGAGACAGGGTGTGGGTGTGGACACCGATTCGCCGCCGCGGTCTCAGCGAGAAACTCCTGAAACATTACTTTGGGCCCTACGAAGTGCTCCGTCGGCTCGGGGATCTGAACTACGAGGTGATGCCCGACGGAACACGGACTTCGTCACGCCGCCCTCCAAGACCGGATGTTGTCCACGTCGTGCGACTGAAGCCGGATTACGCTCGATAGGACTGTGGACCTCATGCGTTCCAAATGACTCTTTAGTTTACCGTTCTTTTTATTTGCTTTGTTTAGTTTTGGGGTTGCATCGGGACGATGCACTTTTTAAAGCGTGGAGTAACGCCGCGCCCGCAGCTGGCCAAGTAGGCAGCGCGCGCGTGGCCTAACGGTTATCGCGCTTGCTTTCCACGCTGAAAGCCAGGGTTTGATTCCTGGCCGCGGAGGCAACAATTTTGTTGACTCTGTAAAGTAATGTTCTGGAAAATTCGAGAACCATGTTGCTTGTTCGAGGTCAGAATGTTCTACACGCCGAACCTTCTACGCCGATTCTTCCAGAAGCTTACACGTGTACATAAGGGGCTCCGCGTGGCGATCTTCATTCAGTTTCGCCCCAGCGTTCGACTGTGCTGCTACGCCGACTTCGACGCCCTCGACGCTCCGTTATCATCTTTTGTACTCCTTTTATTTTTTTGGCACAAGTTCGCCGCATTGAACGTTTAGTTTTCTTCAGTTATCGACGTCTCATCAATTGTCATTCGTGACAATATATGATAATATAAGGTGTCAAATATTGTCACTAAGGACAAGTGATGAGGCGGCGAATAGCTGAAGGAACTAAACGTTTAATAGGGCGAACTTGTGCCCAAACATAAAAGGAACGCCGAGCCTTGATTGGCTGATCGCGACCCCCTATCTCAGCGTCGTCTGCTCTTTTGCAACGTCGTCTGCTCGCAACGTCGTCTGCTTCTGTCTTACTTTTCCTGCGACTTTCGAAAGTCGAGCGAGCTCGAATTCGCCTTTTAGAGAGGGTAGACGAAATAACTCGAGCGGTGCGTTGTTTTTGTCTAACAACTAGCAGACGCGCATCACGGAGGGAAGTCAAAGGACTCACTGACCAGGTGTCCCGAGGCGCCGAGGTTTGTTCGCTAAGAACTGAGAGTGAGCGTGTTAGTGTCCGCAAGTTCCCCCCCAAATACTTTTTCCCTCCTTTCGTGTGCGGCGAGACTCCTGACTCTTTAACGTCGTCGGCGGGTTGGCGCAGTTAACGTCGTCTGCTTCAAAGCGATTGCTGCTTTACCGTTCCGGCGTCTGTCGGAGATTCACCGCTTTTTCACCGGCGAAAGTCACCGTTTCCTCGGAAAACAAGAAGATGACAAGAGGAAGAGATTGACCTCTTAATCTAAAATTGAGGTCAGCGATCAAAGACGGGAAGGGTTCACAAGGGTCGCGCCGTTCAGCACGCCAGCCGGTCGTGGGCAGACGGTCGCTGAGTCAGAGTGCCTGCTAGGCTTATCTGCCGAGCTCGCTTGGTCGTTGTCGGAGGAATCATGGCAGTTGGAGATTTTCCCGGGTGTTTGTGGGTCCAGCGTTCTTGTTCGCTGTGGTGTGTTTCAAGTACTTTTTACTTTTTTCTTGCTGCTTGAAGTCGGGACGCGTGAGAAGCGCACGTAGAAAAATAATCGTCCGTTGGTCGTCGCGACCGCGACGCTGTCGGCCATGCTGATTTGATCGTTAGAAGTGCGTAAGACAGCTTCGGAGCTGTCGTAGGATTTCGTCGTAACCTGCGCAAAACTTAAGAAAATTTCGTTTCGTGAATACGAATTTGTTCTTAAGTTTTGTCTTACGCACATTTTTGGCGTAAGATCTTTCGCGAATCTGGCCTCTGCACTGTCGAAAGTCGCAGGAAAGGTAAGACAGACGCAGACGACGTTGCGAGCAGACGACGTTGCAAAGGAGCAGACGACGCTCAGACATAGAGTAATATAGTAAACGTAAAGAGAGGACACTGAAGCCGATTCGCGGCCCAGATAGTAGGATTCATACCCTCCGCTACGTGGCGCTTTTCCGTAATTTGGTTAATATTAATTACAGCTTTCTCTCTGAAAAGTATTTATTTTCTAAATTTTTATGCTTTAGAGTTTTTTAAAGTACTTAAAACGACTAAATAGTGTTAATCAAATACGTCACAAAAACCACGTGATGAATGGCACCTGCCATGGCCTGTCTGCTTGCACGCCGTCACCTCTGCTCGTCCGTGCGGTCCGTGCTTCGTTCGTCCGTGCCGTACCGTCCGTGCCGTACCGTCCGTGCCGTCCGTGCCGTTCTTCTCCGTTTTATGCTACAGCGTGTTCGGTCGACTTTGCTTGAAACAAAGTGACGAATGACCGCCGCGTGCTCTCATGCTCGGCGTGAGTTTGTAGAGCTGAGCGGCTTGATATGGCTTGAGCTTCTCGTGTTTCCGTCGGGCTGCCTGGACCTAGATTTTTAAACAAAAGGTAAGTCGTTTTGCTCATTTGTCTCTCGACTGTGTTGTAAAGCTGGCTTTTGAATTTGCTGAGTCTGGGTTGCCGTCCGACGCCCCTCGGGCAGAGCTTTGTTCATGCGTGTTCAAGTGCCATCAGACATCTGTGGATGGCTGTTGAGAGGACTTATGCCGTCATAGATTGAAGTTAATTCACTGACTAAAGCTGGGTCGCCAGTCGTTCGCAGTGCGACGAATTCGGGGCAAGGTGTCCATTGAGTCATATTGAGATTTTGACATGCATTCTTTCAATGGCGCGTCGCTGCTTTGATTTATCACATAAAGTACGTGCAAAAGAAGCGAACCAGCGAACGTCGCTCAAGCGAGCTACATAACTTGTGTGTACCGCCATACGAGCTGCAGTATGCTGCAGTTACGACGACAAACACATGCATAGAATTTCGGGGGAAAAAACTGCGAGACGCAGTATCAAATTTAGATATTTAATAAAGTTCCCAAGCAGCATATATATCCTATGGACGTCCACGGGACATCCAGGATAGGACATCCATGGAACTTTCGGACACTCTGAGAATGTACGGAGGACTATTCAAACATGGTTCCCACTACATCGCTACATCACCAAATGGAGCTCGAAATTTAGGTCTATGGTTCGCTGACATTATTTTCTATGTAAGAAAGCAAAATTCAAAATATTGACGGCCAATTTACCAGAAACAGTAGAGGTAGATTAGTCTTACTTATTTTGGCCGTACCGCTGTACCCTGCTTAAATTCCTGTTTTACTCTTAAGGATGACATTCGAACGTTGGGTAAAACCAGTCAGACGTCACTTGAACACTTGGTTGGAGTGCTGTGGCATGGCACTCTAGACACTGCGTTCGATTATGATGCATGAAGATTGCGTAAACTTCACAAACTTCACAATATTTCTTTCACCCGTCTGTGTTAATACGTGTCATGGGTTTATTGTAACATTGCGTCATGGTAATATCTTGTGAAATTGTTTAAATCTCCATCAGTTTATTTTTTCACCAGCCGCTATTGTGCTACCTTCCGTTGAACTAAAGGAACGCGCCATTGGCTAGGCTTCAGTAGATGTTAAACTCTCCCTCCCCCGCTGGCCCAGATTATGTCCTACGGAAGTTACTGCTGCGTGGTCTGGTGTGCCAACAATGGGAAAACAAAGAAGCCACATGTCAAGTTTTTTCGAATTCCACGTGACCCAAGGTACGTATAGATTCTAAGGCAGTCCTTACAACATTTGATCGAAGCATAACATTTTGAAATGAGAACTATGGTCCGTTGCAACCTAAGAACGAAGGGCGAGGGTAAGACGGGCCGGGGAGGAGGAAGCAGACGGAACACGAAACGCTAAGGAGAGAAGGAGGTTTCCCCTTTCTTCTCCAGCGTTCCGTCTGCTCCCTCCTCCGCGGCCCGTCTTACCCTCGCCCTTCGGTCTTAGGTTGCAACAAACTATAGCAAAAACGATTTCTTCCATGTCACTTTGGTTTATGGACACCAATATCTTTCAGCATTTTAAGGTTATCTTGCCTCGGGCCTAAATTGATTGCATACCCTGGTGGGTATGCAATCTGTTTGTTTAGCTGTATTGCACTGTACAGTAGCATGAAGAAGAAAAACAAACTCTTCAGAACGTGAACACTTTGCTGAGAGGTGCCATACCAAACGGCAGTGAAACATTAAAAACAATTGAGGCTCATATATTTGGAGTTTATTTGACCCTTACAGTATGTGTAACCTTGGTGGTATATACAATGTTCTGCAGGTCAAAAGCATGGCTACAGTACGCCAGACGTCCTGAGCTCCTAGGAAAGACAGCCAAGGAGCTCTATGAGGGGTATCGCCTGTGTAGTGAGCATTTCACAGCCAAGGACTTTTTGGATCCTGGGAAGACAAGGCTGACCAAAACGGCTATCCCTACGGTTCGGCCGCAAATGCTTAGGCCATCTGTAACAGCCCAAGGTAACATAATCTTTATTTGCAGTCTGTACGGAGTTCTGTTATATTTTGCTTTTAGGCAGCACCAACTCTACGTCACTGATGCCAGCTGCCAGCATGCTGTCAACGATGCTTGACAGTCTCAAAAGTTTTAATCTGATTTAATTAGTTTTTATTATTAGTTTGTGCTTAAATATTTTATCTAATTCATTTAGCATTTTTGTACATTATCCCTGTAATGTCCCTGCGCATACTGTTGCCCATAACCAATATCCGTCCCAGTTTGTTGGAAAATTGTTTTAAAGCACAAGGTCAGCTGCATTGAAATACAGTAATTTGTGTCCTGCAATCAAGAAGGGCAGTTCTGCCAGTGCAGTATGACTTCTTACAGGGCATCCTAGGTTTGTAGCATACAATAGTGATATAAATGAAAGATAAGGCAGGTCAACGTTCCCCTGTTCATATCCAATTCGACAAGAGGACTCATGCCGTCTGAGTCATCTTCCTGACACTCATGTTTACAAGGTTAGCTTTAGTTGCCCATGCTGTTATATTCTCATAAATTAGCATACCGGGCCATTAAAATTTAAGATATTCCGAGATTCCTAAGTGCCTTTTCAAGACCCGCCGGATCCTGTGTTTCGCCATTGATTAATATTGCTCAACATTAATTTTCATCACTAAGGGATTTCAATGCCCTTTCAGAGTGCTGAATATTTTCTGTTCCTTTGAAAGGTAACACTACTAACCTATCATTCGCCTGTAGCAGGAATTCTCCATCAGAAGCTTTATAAGCAGGTATTCATATCTGAGAAGCCAAAATTTTTCAGAAGAACCGGTGGCAACAACATGCCCCTGTGACGTTCCATTGGAGGGAAACAGAATGTCGCATCCCACAGCAGCTTATGGTGAGATTATTTATTTTTAATTGGCGGCTCATATCTGACAAGGAAGCCCTTTTCAGAAAAGCCAATAGCGGAACCAAGCCCCGGGGATGTTCGATTGGAGGGCAGCAGAACGTCGCCTTCAACAGCTGCTCATGGTGAGATCATTTATTTTAAAACAGGGGCTCATACCTGACAAGCAAACATCTTTCAGAAGGACCGATGGTGGCACCAAGCCCCGGGAATGTTCCATTGGAGGGTAGTGGAACGTCACCTTTGGCAGCTGCTCATAGTGAGATCATTTCTTTTAAAACTGCTGCTCATATCTGACAAGCAACCGTTTTTCAGAACAACCGCTGGCGGCACCAAGCCCCGGTAATGTTCCCTTGGAGGGCAGTGGAATGTCACCTTCAACAGCTGCTCGTGGTGAGATCATTTATTTTAAAACAGGGGCTCATACCTGACAAGCAAATGTCGTTCAGAAGGGCCGATGGCGGCACCAAGCCCAGGGAATGTTCCAATGGAAAGCAGCGGAACGTCACCCTTGGCAGCTGTTCATGGTGAGATCATTTCTTTTAAAACAGCTGCTCATAGCTGACAACCAAACATTTGTCAGAAGAACCGGCGGCGACATGTCCCTGTGACGTTCCATTGGAGGGAAGCAGAACGTCGCATCCCACAGCAGCTTCTGGTGAGATTATTTATTTTAAATGAGCGGCTCATATCTGACAAGGAAGCCCTTTTCAGAAAAGCCGATGGCGGAACCAAGCCCCAGGGATGTTCGATTGGAGGGCAGTGGAACGTCAACTTTGGCAGCTGCTCATGGTGAGATCATTTCTTTTAAAACAGCTGCTCATATCTGACAAGCAACCGTTTTTCAGAACAACCGCTGGCGGCACCAAGCCCCGGTAATGTTCCCTTGGAGGGCAGTGGAATGTCACCTTCAACAGCTGCTCGTGGTGAGATCATTTATTTTTAAAACAGGGGCTCATACCTGACAAGCAAATGTCGTTCAGAAGGGCCGATGGCGGCACCAAGCCCAGGGAATGTTCCAATGGAAAGCAGTGGAACGTCACCTTTGGCAGCTGTTCATGGTGAGATCATTTCTTTTAAAACAGCTGCTCATAGCTGACAACCAAACATTTGTCAGAAGAACCGGTGGCGACATGTCCCTGTGACGTTCCATTGGAGGGAAGCAGAACGTCGCAACCCACAGCAGCTTCTGGTGAGATTATTTATTTTAAATGAGCGGCTCATATCTGACAAGGAAGCCCTTTTTAGAAAAGCCGATGGCGGAACCAAGCCCCGGGGATGTTCGAATGGAAGGCAGTGGAACGTCACCTTCGGCAGCTGCTCATGGTGAGATCATTTCTTTTAAAACAGCTGCTCATATCTGACAAGCAACCGTTTTTCAGAACCGATGGCGACAAGCCCCTGTGGTATTTCACTGGAGGGTACCAGCGCGTCACATTCCATAGCGGCCTGTGGTAAAATAAATCTCCTACACAAATTGGGTTTATGCAAACATTCGTATTTAACAGTGACACATTTTCCAGAGCAAATGGGGATGGCCAGCTCTCCTGGCCAGCTTTTGGACCACAGCACTCCATCTTCGTCTGTTGGCTATTCTGAATCATCTGGAACCTGTGAGTATAAATTGACTTCTCTACAGATTTAAGCACTGCAAAATTGTGTTAAGTACCTCTGCATTTAGTATGCACATTGCTTCAAATTAGGTGACATTATTTGTCACTTCATTTTTGTGCTGGCCTTAATAACTTGGAACATCACTACAGGGCTCTAGGTGACGGGGAACATAAGCTTTGAAGTGTGGCACCGTGAAATGCTCTGAAAAGGGGTGGTTTCCTAGTAATCTGTGCTTACTGTAGTAATTTGCCAATCCTGTTACATACAGTTCTCATTTTGGATGACCCTGTTGAATGTAGTGATTGACTACGCGATTATTCAATATTTGAAAGATTCATCAATTTATGTTAATACAGTTTTTGTGGTGAAATTATTGCAGCTGAAAGACTAAAAGCTAGTTTAATTTTTTTTTTCTGATAGCAGCCATTTGTGTATAAACAGTGGTAACAGAACATGCGGAGCAAATGCCCACTCACAATTTGGAGATAATCATGAAAAACGCAGAGATGTATGCTTCTTATGCCCGAAAGCAAAATTGCAGAACAGCCAAAGGTTGGGGGGAAGGGGGGTCACCACTTTGGAGGCCCGTGCACGTGTCGAGCTTCACCTTTTACATTGGTGTGCTTGGAGAAGCAGCTGAAGCGGATGAGCATTTATGTTAGGTGGGTGGGTTTTTAAGTCTGGAGTTGGACATTGATACGTGCTTTGTTTATTTCGCAAACGTTTCGAAAGTGGCGGGGGGGGGGGGGGGGGAAGGGGGCACATATTGCAGCATGGGTAAGTGGTCGGTATTTGGCGGTATCGTTTCTGTCGGGTTCTACTTTTATCATTTTTGTGTAGCCTGACTTATGTGCTTTCGGTATTGTTTTGGCAGGCTCTGGTCGTTCAACACCTGCTTCCGCCAAGCTCTCAAGGAGGCCCAGGGACGTCATAAAACGCCTACAAGCAAAGGTTTCCAGTTACAGAAAGACAATATCAAGACTGCGCAAGCAACAGAAGCAAATGCCTCAAACAGCTGCCGAAGCACTTGAAATGGTGCGTCCGTTTGTGACAGACGAGGTTTTCGGACTTATCTCGTCACATGTAAAATTAGGGCGCAAGGGACGAGGAAAACGGTTTCCACTGTGGCTCAAGAAGTTTGCTTTGCATCTGAACTTTCATGGCCCACAGGCATACCGTTTTCTATCGTTACATTTAACGCTTCCCACTCAGCGTTCACTGCGTAGGAGGCTGTCGAACGTAAAAATGACTCCTGGTATTATACCTGGTGTCATGTCCTCCATCGAATCTCAAACGCGGTCTTGGAATGCACGTGATCGTGTCTGCACCTTGATTTTTGATGAGATTGTTTTGAAGAAGAACTTGACATACGACCCTGCACACGACATTATCCATGGATTTACAGATGACGGTGTTGAACAAACCTCGACTATTGCAGATAGAGCCCTGGTTGTTGTGCTCTCTGGAATTTCCAGGAGGTGGGTTCAGCCCCTCGCATACACTGTTGGGCACACTTCAACACCGTCTTCTGTTATCCGGAGCCTCCTGATTTCTCTCATTCGAGAGCTTAAGACTGTTGACTTCACTCTGAAGGCCGTGGTCTGTGATCAGGGGGCTTCAAACGTAAGCTTAGCCAACCAACTTGGTGTATCTGCTGATAAGCCATTTTTTGAAGTCGACAACGAACGTGTTTACTTTATCTTTGATGTTCTGCACCTCATCAAAACAACAAGAAACAATCTCCAAGCCCACAAACTTTGCATTGGGGATGAGGTCATTGAATGGTCCCATATTGTTGAACTTTATCGTTCTACTCATGAGATGAGGTTGCGATTGGCTCCAAAACTTACTGAGAGGCACATTTTTCAAAAACCTTTCAGTAACATGAAAGTAAAGCGTGCCACACAGGTCCTGAGTGCCTCAGTCTGTCTTGCCATTCTATCCCTTGTTTATGCCAAGGAGCTTCCTGAGGCAGCCATGGCTACAGCCTATTTTTGTGATAGAATGGACAGACTTTTTGATTGTTTAAATAGCTCGCAATTCAAGAAGACGGGGCAGAAGTTGCGTCATGCAATTTTGAAAGGAGAATCTGAGATACTCGATTTCCTTCACCAACAACTCGCATGGATTTCAACATGGAAGTTCCAAAGTAGGAGGCAGCCACAAACCACCATAGGGTGGCAAGTTACAATAAGGAGTATCCTCATGCTCTGGGATGAGCTTTCAAACAGCTATGACTTTAAATTCTTACTTACTCGACGCCTGCAGCAAGACCCACTGGAGAACATTTTTGGGGCAATAAGACAAATGCTGGGCTGCAATACAAACCCAAATGTGAATCAGTTCACCTCGGGACTGAAACACATCGGGATAAAAAAACTGTTCAGACTCTCTAACAATGGAAATGTAGAGGATGAAAAGGCTGACCTCCTCAAGGAGTTGCCAATATTTTCGCACCATGAAAGTTCCATTGCAGACAATGTGGAATGTTTTCCAGTTGATAACTTCCCGCCACTAGAAGATATTTCTGAGCTGGCATCAGACATCAGGTCTAATATAATTGACGACTCGTGCACTTACTACGTTGGAGGCTATTTGATCAAACTTTTCCTTGAACAGACAACCCGCAGCTGTGGCTGTTCTAAGCTGCTAAAGGATGAGTCTGACAACTTGACCAGGCCTCACCAGTATTTTCTTATGCTTAAAGCATACCACGTGCCTGGGAAACTCTTCGGAAACCTAGTAGTACCATCACAGGCTGCCTTTAACTTTATTCAGAAACTAGAAAATCACTTTCTTGCCGTAATAGAGAGTGTAGCGCATGTTCGAGGAGTGTGTGCTGCCTTGTATCACACACTCTCAGAGCTGGGTGGTTTCAGCCTTTGCTCAGAGGAGTGTCACAAAAGGTTTTTAAAAATGTTTTGCCGAATACGCTTGTGTTGGCATGTTCGGTTCCTTAACCGGAACTTGGACAAAGTTCGGTTACACTCTTCGGTTGCTAGTAAGCAACTTGATAAGTTTAACTGTTAATAGCTTAGTAGCGTATTAACAGAGGTGGTTGCCAAATCAAAAACAGAAATTGCTTATTAATTGGGCAGTGTAGCTTGCACTCCAAACATGTGTTTTCTTTATTTCCAGGAAATGTGTATCACGGCCCCCTTACACAAATATTTATCCACTTTCTGCAGAATTTCTATAGAAAATAGTTTATAGAGGCATAGATGTTTGGAAGAAAATGTGTCCACTTCTGTACCCGTCTATATTTTTTGGACGTTTTTTTTTTCTGAAGTAATACTCCTGTCCTGAACAAATGTATTTCGGGGAATGTTTAGGGACGTTGAATCATGGTTGAATATCTATGGTTGAATCTTGTCAGATTCCAAATAGAGTTCTCATTGTTTTTTTGTTTTGTTTTTTTGTAATGGCTCACCCGCAGCGAGTTTCAGGCTATGCCATTTCGTGTGTTTTATATTAGCCGGTAATTTGGAATTTGTACTATTCGGTGTGTGCTTCGCCTGGTAATGATAGCGATGTCTTGTTTATTTCTGCACTTACTTACCGTGCCCGAGTCGGCGTGAAGGTGAATGGATCATTCAGCATGTTCCCTGTGGAAAGCTTTTGTAAACTTGACTCCGCTAAAAATCTATTACGAAGTGTACGATATGCCGAACTCCTTCATACTCATTTATTTTTGTGATTATCTATTTCTTATAAAACATACAGAGCTTCTGAAGTAAATAATGTACATATGAATGTGGTCCAATAAAATGTTTTCAAACCACTTACTGTTGTTGACCCCAAAACCTCCCAAAATGCTCCACCAGCCAGGAGTCAATGTGGCGATTATGTACTTCAATGTGTTCAATAAGTTGAACTTTTATTCGACACATTACACATTTTGCAAAACTTATATCGTATATTGCAAAACTTATAACATAAAAACAACAACAAAAAAAAAGAATCATCGGCTCCGGAGCCAAGGAGCTCCCGAGAGCCTAGCGAGGAGGGAGGCGAGAAGGAAAGAAAGAGAGAAAAAGAGAAGGAGAAGGGTACCAAAAAACCGAAACAAAAATGCCCAAACCGAAACCGAAACTAACTTGACCGGAACCGGAACCAGATTGTGTTTCATACCGTCCGCTAAGAGCGCTAGTTGTCACTGCTCTATCTGGGCCGCTGGGGCCTATGGCAGTGTCCGCTCTTTACCTTGTGTATATTACTCTATGGCTCAGATAGGTGATCGCGATCAGCCAATCAGGGCTCGGCGTTCTGACGTCACCGCTACCCCCTGCGCAAGAAGCAGACGAACTTGCCCTCCGCATTTGAACCATGCAGAGTGCCTCAAGAGTAAAAATTGTGTCAAATGAGGTTATCGTTGAAATGATGGCTATCAAATCTTGTGACTCAGAGTACGCCATCGACGAGTGACGTGATTTTCACAAAACAGATGCTTACAGGCGCAACTATGTAGGCAGAAATTGAGAAAGAGGAGGAAAAGGAAAGCTCGCGGGGACGGCAGAACGCCGAGCTCTGACTGGTATGATTAGCGGGTAGAGACAAATCTAGCTTTCTTTGTTTCCACTGCACTGTTAAAACCCGTTCGAACGCGAACGCCAATTGCCGGACGCCCGCGTTCCGCGTTTTAACGTGTTCGACATTTGCAGTGGAGACAAAGGCAGCTAGCTTCGCCTCTATACCGACTAATCATTTCAGTCAGAGCTTGGCCCCCTGCCGTCCCCGCGCGCTTTCCTTTCCTCCTCTTCCTTAGCTTCTGCCCGTATAGTGGGGACTACGGGCCCGAGATTCAGGCTTCGAAAAGTGATTCCATGAAACGAGCGCTCGCGCTTAAATGGCACATTTCAAAGAAGTACTATATAGCTCGCTCCTGTCGCTTTCTCTCTTATGTCAGTCTAAACGTGAGTGGAATATAAAAACTCAAATTTGCCCCATTTTATGACGCGAGCGTGCTGCGAAGGAACGACGAATTGAGCCAGGCGGCGTTTTCTCTCTGCGTGGTGTGAGAAGAGTGGCCGCTGAGTCGGACACAAAAGTGTACATGAGTTCCGACGAGCGAATTTTGTCGTCAGTTAGACGCTTATGATCTCCAAAAATCGCACAAAACCTGGAACTTTCGAAAAATCGTTCTACGCTAGTATCGAAAAAGGCTATACTTCCTCCAAAGGCAACCCAAATATACGTGTGCTAAAGCATATTTTCAAGTTATGTGTGAAAAACATACAAGCTCAGTGTGTTTCTTAAAAAAACTGTGTAAAGTTATTTATTGTTCCGAAAATCGTGCTGCACTCGCTTTGTTTTTTTGCGTGGGTATATCACTCTTTACACGTAGAAAACGGGAAGCAAGCGGAAAAGTAGCTTCAAAAGACCTTTTCCGTGTTGACAAACATGAACTGCCTCCTGCGTCCCAAGCGACTTCCAGTCGCTCCCTCTTTTGCTAGCCTGACGAGCTTGCTTATGTCACCAGTGCAAAAAAGCATAAATGCTACGCGTACATCAAAGTTGGATATTTAACGAAGGCCCTCGGCTGGACAAGTTAACGTCTTGGAAAAGGCAGGTTAATTTACAAGAATACTTATTTAAAAAAAAATTAACAGATCTCGCGCTCCTTTGTTCTTTTGCCGTTCACCTGGAGACTTGATTCCTTAAAGCTTCACTGACGTTTCAAGCAGCGGTGTCAGGGTGGACTTTGTTCATCATTTTTTATGAACCGGAAGTTCTCTGGGACGTCAAAGCGTAGAGCACTGCCTGGTGGCGTTTGCCCTGAAAAGTGTCTATACAATTCTGCCCGTTGCTATTAATAAAGGTGCATCATAGACGTCTCAACGGCGTGCAACTGCGGGAAGAAAAGTTCCAGGCAAATTATAAAACCCTACTGAATAAAATAAATGTAATAAAAATGCCACAATTGCACGACATTTTCATTTTATTAGTCAAATCTTTTCAAATTAACAGCGAGGTTGTTTTTCGAATTTTATCATCGGCCAAATGTTTATGCAAAAATTAAAATGCTGAAACACTTTTTTTGCCCGGTAAAGTTGAACAAATTTCAACTAAACATTTGGTTGGAATCTTTATGCACTAAAACAGTTGGTTACTCAAGTTTTATCGTGCAATATATGCGTATAAAAATTGTTTTTAGTGTTCCGTAGTTTTATTATTTATTTTCTGGATAATTTTTATTAACAGTTCTACAAATTATTTGCTCTTTTTTGTATATATATAAGAAATACGTAAAAAAATGAACAATAAAAATGCTCCAATGAAATTGTGCGAACTCAAAATACGAGCTCAGTGAACAAAGATAAAAAGAAAATATATTCTAATTCTAGGGCCCAATAGAAACGCTCTTTAGGGGATGCGATGCGTTTTCATAAGTACTTAAAATTTGAACAGATGTTATTTAGCACAGAACGAGTTCGGCTTCTCAGTAGCAGATGTCAATTATCAGAAAACAGCCAACTCAAAAACCCTGTAGTTTTTTTTTATTTATTGGTACTGTCAGCCCTAGACAGGGCTTTTACAGGAGTGGGTAATACAATACATTAATTCACATACATGCATGCACCTACAAATACACAATGACGAACAAAAAAAGAAGAACGGCGGCAGAGAATAGAAGTACATGCTGCGACAAAATGCACGAAAAAAAAAAGAGATGCTGCTAATATATCACTTGCTGACAAGACAGGCAATGGCAAAGCATTCGAAGTGCTCAAATACTTATAAAGATTAACGCCAACATAACAAGTGAAAAGATGATGGGAATGGACTCTGAGGGTGGCAGTAAAACACCAGATCAGCATCGTGATTAATCAACACTTACGACGTGTGACAAAGTACTATGCTCTTGACGTTTTTACCAAACTCACTAACTGAGGTTAAGGTGACAGTGCCACTTGGCAGAGAATTCCACTCCGTAATTGCTCTAGGAAAGAAACTATACTTGAAGCAATCGTTTCGAATTGACGGCTCTCTTATATAGTACATAGAATGACGGTGCCTTGCGGATTCACCAATGCGTGTGTCCATGCAATTAGATTTTTTATACAACTTAAATCATAAAAAATTAAGAACAAAAACATTATGCGTTCACACTTTGTCCTTAATTCAAGAACTCGGAGCTCGGCACGACAACATAGATCAGTGGGAGAATCTGTGCGGTTATATTCAGTAAAGATGAATCTGGCTGCAAGCCGCTGAAACCTTTCGGGTGTAGTAATATTGTTTTTTTGTACATGGGTCCCAAACAATTTTCGCATATTCGAGAACTGGTCTCACCAATGTTTTATACCCGATATTTTTTTTTCTGGTGTGGCGCTAGCTATGTTTCTTCTAAGGTACCAGAGTGCCTTGTTAGCTTTTGAGGAGACTGTTTCAATGTGAGTGTTCCATTGTAGGTCACTTGGGAATGCTAATCCTAAGTATTTGTGTTCATCCACATGGAGGAGTTTAATGCCGTCTAAAAGATAATCACAACTTAATTTTTTTTCGTGTTACTGTCATTAATAGCGTTTTCGAAGGATTTTACACCACCTGCCACTCATCGCACCATTGTTTAATTTTGCTGAGGTAATTGTTTAGTTTTATTTGATCTTGTTGGGTTTCGATCTTATTATACAATAGACAGTCGTCTGCAAACAACTTCTTTGGAACAAAGATTCCAAAGCGGAGGTCATCTATAAATATTAAAAATAATAGTGGTCCCAGTACACTACCCTGTGGAACTCACAAAAGGACAGGTGCAAAGCTAGACTTATATTCTCCAAACTCGACAAACTGAACTCTCGAAGAAAGATAGGAAGAAAACCAATTTGTAATTATGAAGTTCTTAAATATGGTATCAATTTTAAGCAACAATTTAGGATGAGATACTTTGTCGAATGCTTTTGCAAAGTCCAAGAATATTACATCAGTTTGACTTCGGTTGTTAATAGATTGCCAAGATCATGCACGGTCTCAACAAGTTGTGTGGTCGTAGACAGACCTTTGCGGAAACCGTGTTGATATTCATACAGTATATTATGGTCATTTAGAAAAGTCAACATATGTTTAGACATGATGTGTTCGAGGAGTTTAGGGCATGCACTAATAAGAGATATGGGGCGGAAATCTTCTACACAACTCTCCGAACCGCCTATATGAATGGGTATAATTCTGGCAGTCTTCCAGACATTAGGCACGTGACCTTCATTTATGTATAATTGATAAATTAAAGTAAGATCCTTAGCAACCCCTTCACCGTACCTATTTAAGAACGCATTTCGAATTCCGTCGGGACCGGAACTTTTCTTAGCGTCTATATTAAGTAATAAATTTAAAACTCCTTCGTGTGTTTCATTATCTCCAATTTAAGGATACTCAGAGAAATCTTTAAATCCCGGCAAAATTTTGTTATCTCGCGTAAAAACTGAAGAAAAGAAGGAATTAAAATCTCAACCCGTTCTTGACTGTTGCCGGAGTCGCTTCCTGATCTGGCACGGGGATTAACGTAACGCCAAAATTTCGCAGGGTCATCAGTAAGGAACTTTTTCAGTGTTGCGTTATAAAATTTGCTCTTCGAGTCTTTCACAAGTATTTTCAAATCACGACTCATGGTGTGAAGTTGCACCCTTTTATCGATATTTGAATTACGTTTAAGGGTTTTCCGATAACGCTTTATTCTTCTCTTTTTGAATAATATCTCTAGTGATCCAAGGACTTTTTTTGTCTTTTCGTTTTTGTATGAGTAGGCACAAACTGATTAATGCAGTGTTTAACGACTTCAACAAAGTAGTCCCGAAAAACGTCTGTAGCGACAGATGTCTGGTGGAGTAATTGAAATTCGTCTAACGACTTTTCGAGGCAGTCTAAAATACTAGCATCGTGGGCGGCTTCAAAACTAAGGAACGTTTTACGCGATGGACAGTCGAGTGTGCCGAGATTTGCGGTTAATATCATTACTATCATTTTGTGATCTAATATTCCCTCATAAAGTTCGCAGTTTAAACGAGCAGCGTTTAGGTTGGCGGAAACAAAGATTAGGTCGAGTAGGGACGAGGTCGTGGAAAACACTCGTGTCTCCCCAGTGACGACTTGCGCTAAGTTATAACAGAAAGTAAGTTCCAGTAGTTGGTCACAACTAGCCACTTCCGCGGTTCCGGCTGAAAGTTTATTCCAATTTATTCCTGGTACGTTGAAGTCTTCCACTAACAAAATACTATGAGACCGTATTGCAGAGTCCACGCAATTGCGTAGTTTGAATAAGAAGTCGACTGGAGCATTAGGTGGCCTGTATACTCCACCTGAGACAACGGCACGGTCGTTAAGTTTTATCTGGATCCATACCGACTCAATGACTTTAGCGTCCTCCAAAACTCTAAATGTAATATTATTTTTAATTAGAATTGCAACGGCTCCACAACGTGCTCCTCTGTCTTTTCTCGCCATTCTGTAGTTTTCTAGTGTAACTTCACTATCCAAAATGTCTTTCTGAAGCCACGTCTCAGTAATTACCATAATGTCTGGTTCGTGTTCTAGAACAATGCTTTCAATATGGTTGTAGAGGTGCGTGCCTCTACATCACGTATTTTATTTACAATATCTACAGTTTTGCTTACGCCGTTCTGAATGTGGTCTCGCTGCTCGCGATCCTCATTTTCGAGTCCCGTGACCGCTCCTCTTCCTTCTCTTCGTAAGCGGTCACTACAAGTACTCCCCCCCTAGTGAGAAGGCGGAGGTGACGAGCGTTTACGTCTCTGCGGAAGCCACTGTCGTGAGGATTCCCAGGTTGTGTCCCGACTCAAGTTACATGCATTGCCTGGCTGGAACTGAGCTTGTCGAGGTCTTCGGAACGGTGTTGCATCTTGTACACAACAATCGGAGTCAAGGTAGGCTGCCTTAACTCTGTCTAGCGAGACGACTTTCTCGTTGCCTTTTACCAGAAGTGTCACCGTTTTGTCACTGCGTCTCAGAACCTGAAACGGTCCATCGTATGTGGGCTGTAGGGGTTTCTTGACTCCGTCGTTTCTGAGAAAAACGTGTGTACAAAGCAGAACATCAGCCGGAATGGACGTGTAACGTGTCGACGGTACCCTTGTGTAGGTAGGTCGGAGGTCCTGCATGAGAATACGGAGTCGTTTCACATAGTTTTCGGCACTCTCAATTTCGGTGTCGCTTGATTGGCTGAAGAATTCTCCTGTCAGACGGAGTGACGTACCGTACACCAACTCGGCCGTGCAACAGTTAATATCCGTTTCGAAAGCTGTTCGTATGCCGAGCATAACTAATGGTAGGGCTTCCGTCCACGCAATGCTGTTTGGCTGAGCCTTGATTGCTGCCTTGAGCTGACGATGGAATCGTTCTACCAAGCCATTAGATATCGGATGATAAGCTGTGGTGTGGATGTGCTTGACTCCGAGAAAATGGGAAAGGCTTCGAAACAGTGATGATTCAAACTGTCGTCCTTGGTCGGTGGTGATGGTTTGGGGAACGCCAAATCGACTTACCCACATTTCAATTAGCGTTTGTGCCACTGTTCGTGTTGTGATGTCTCTCATCGGAGCGACCTCGGGCCACCGCGTAAAACGATCTATGGCGCTCAAGATGTAGCGGTATTCATGCGATGGGGGAAGCGGTCCTACAATGTCAACATGAATGTGGGCGAAGCGGGCATCTGGTGGGTTGAACGCGCCTAATGGTGTGATGGTATGCCGGTGTATCTTTGCACGCTGGCATTGCACACACGTCTTGGTCCATGCACGCACATCAGCGTTGATGCGGGGCCAGATGAATCTTGGCACAATGAGACGTTGCGTGGCTCTTATTCCCGGGTGGGATAGGCCATGAAGGGAATCAAAGATTGTCCGGCGTAAATGGGCGGGTATAAACGGTCGAGGTTGGCCTGTCGACATGTCACATGCTACCGTGTCGTCAGAGCCATGCATCCGCACGTCCTGGAAGACAAGTGTTGCAGAAGTTGTTCGGAGCTTTTGGAGTTCGGCATCAGCGCGTTACGCTGCTGCAAGCTCCGCATAGGGGACCAGATGAGGTTCGAAGGAGCTTCGATTCACACCGATCCTGGAGAGCGCATCAGCCGCAGCATTTTCTGTGCCCTTGACGAAGCGGATGTCGGTCGTGAATTCTGAGATGAAAGCCATCTGCCGCACCTCTCGCGGAGTGTGTGCTGTGCTGTTGGATGTTAGTGCAAATGTCAGTGGTTTATGGTCGGTGAGGACAAAAAAATTTTGGCCTTCAACAAAATGCCGGAAGTGTTTGATTGCGAGGTATATAGCCAGCAGTTCCCTCCCAAAGGTGCTGTAGCGAACTTCTGCTGGTGAAAGTTTTCTTGAGAAGAATGCCACGGGATGCCAGTTATCTTCCACCTGCTGTTGTAGAACAGCTCCCACAGCACCATCAGAGGCGTCAACCATAATGGAGATGGGTGCGTGTCGCTTGGGGTGTATTAGGAGCGTGGCGTTGGCAATGGCATTCTTAACTGCCTCGAAGGCATGCTGGGCAGCCTCATTCCACTGCAGTAGCGACGTTTTCGTCTTGTTTCCTTGCAGCATTGCGAAAAGTGGTTGACTTATATGGGCACAATGGGGGATGAATCGACGATAAAAATTAGAAAGCCCCAAGAACTCACGGAGCTTCGTTGTCGTCGTCGGTGTTGGAAAGTTTTTGATGATGTCGACCGTCTCAGGCAGCGTTCGGATCCCGCGGCTATCTACGTGGTGTCCAAGAAAACGTATTTCCTCGACACCGAACTCACATTTTGTCGCATTGACGACGAGTCCGTAATCTTGCAACCGAGAAAACAGCTGTCGAAGATGGTTGGCATGTTCTTCCGGTGTGCGACTGAACACCAAGATGTCATCGATGTAAGCGAATGTGAACGTCAAGCCGCGAAGAACCTGATCAACAAAACGTTGGAAGGTTTGCGCGGCGTTTCGAAGTCCAAACGGCATTCTCAAGAACTCGAACAAACCGAATGGTGTGACGATCGCAGTCTTGGCAATGTCTGTCGGCTCGATGGGGATTTGGTGGTAGGCTTTAACCAAATCCACTTTGCTGAAAATAGTGGCCCCTTCTACCATGCCACCGAGGTCTTGAATATGTGGGATCGGGTAGCGATCTGGCACTGTAGCCTTATTTAGGGCTCGATAGTCCCCACAGGGTCGCCAGTCTCCGTCTTTTTTTGGTACCATGTGGAGTGGGGAAGACCACGGACTCGAAGAAGGCCGTATATACCCAAGTTCGAGCATGTGGTCAAACTCATCCTTGGCAATCCGAAAACGGTCGGTTGTCAAACGTCGTGGTCTTGCGAAAACCGGGGGGCCCTTGGTCTCAATGTGATGGGTGACGTTGTGCTTCACGCTTTCATCGGGGACCGGCGGGCGGAAGACTTGAGGAAACTCGTTGACAACGTTCTTCCATGGAGTGTCCACTTCCGCTCGTGGGAGAGACGGACTGAGAGGCGTCACCTTTGATAAGAGAACTTGGACGCTAAGCTGCGTGTCGGTGTCGAAGAGCGAATTCCTTCTCATGTCAACTGTGAGGGCGAACCTTCGCAAGAAGTCTGCTCCAATTATGGCTTGTTGGACGTCGGCGATGGTGAAAAGCCAGCGGAACGTCCTGCGGAGCCCGATGTCCAGTGTCAGCGACTTTTCTCCGTACGCCTTGATTGAAGACCCGTTTACTGCTTGGAGTGGCGGAGATTCTTGGCGTTGCCGACGTTCCTCCATCGTAGGGGGCACAACGCTTACCTCTGCACCAGTGTCTATCAGGAAACGAACCTTCGTTCGGCGTTCGGTGACGTAGAATAGTCGACCTGAGGTGGGGCTCTCGACGCTGGCGGCCTTCAGCGCCTGCCCATGCCGTTTCCCGAGTAAGTACATGGCGGGCGACATTGCCTTGCGTGTTGCCCATAGCGTCGGTGGTACCAGCATACCTCTGATTCGGAGTCGGTGGACTCGTGGCGTGCGTAGTCCTGGTGGCAGCGGACATTCTCCTTCGTGGTCGGAGAAGGCGACGGTCGTACGCGTAGCCTGCGGAGCTCTTGACTCAGTTGGTCCACCCTGACCTCCATGCGCTTGTTAAAGTCCATGATTTGAGTGAGTTGAGCTCCAACCTCAGATGGCGTAGGTGGCGGTGCTGATGCGCTTTGTTCCAAGGCAGAAATGCTGGACCCACCTACATCTATAATCTGGTCCGCCATACGAGCCAGAGTGGCGATCGAGTCTGTCGTCGTTGCGCTCAAGATCATGCGCACTTGGGCTGGAAGGCGTTGAAGGAACAGCTCCCTCAAAATTGCTGTGTCAATTGTTGTTGCCTTGTCTCCGAGGAGCTGTTCTATTCGTCGAAGAAATTCAGTAGGCTTTCGATCACCCAACTCCTCGGAAGTCAAAAGCTGCTGCAGTCGGCGCGGTTCGGATTCCGTTGTGCGTCGTATCAGCTCCTCTCGTAGTTTCTCGTAAGGTTGATCGTCTAAAGGTGAGCGCAGTATATCCCGTACCATGGCCGCTGTTGCTTGCGGAAGAGCC